GATCACGGCGTGCACTTCAGGTGGCTCTCAAACTGCTTGTCTGTGCTCAGACCAACCTTCTTTCCATTCAGGCAGTGTATCTACCAGGCCGACTCAATCAGGCCGCGGATGCTCTTTCACGTGCCAGGGTGTCACAGGTAGATTGTACTCTATACCCGGTAGTGGTGCAGATGATATGGAGGACATATGGGACTGCAGCAGTAGACGTGTTTGTGGACAGTCAAAAGTCCCCCTGAGGGATGAACCAGGATCTCTGGGTCTGGATGCACTAGGCCACAATTGGCCAGACAGGATACTGTATGCTTTTCTCGTTACAACTGATTTGGAGGACTCTCTGTCAAGTGATGTGAAGTGAAGTCATACTTGTGTGGCCAAGTATGGTGACCCATACTCAGAATTTGTGCTCTGCATTTAACCCATCCAAGTGCACACACACACAGTAGTGAACACACACACACACACACCGTGAACACACACCCGGAGAAGTTGGGGGTTCGGTGCCTTGCTCAAGGGTCTCACCACAGTCGTGGTATTGAGGGTGGAAGAGAGCGCTGGTTATTCATTTACATTTACATTTAGACATTTAGCAGACGCTTTTATCCAAAGCGACTTACAAATGAGGACAATGGAAGCAATCAACAAAAGAGCAATGATATGCAAGCTATAACAAGTCTCAGTTAGCTTAAAGCAGTACACGTAGCAATGTTTTTTTTAATCATATAATAAATAAAAAGAAAACAGATAGAATAGAAAAAGAATAAAGCAAGCTAGTATTAGATGCCTTTTTGCTTTTGTTAACTGTATAATAAATAAATCAAAAAACAAATAGATAGAATACAAAAAGATTAGAGAAGCAAGTGTTAGTTTTTTTTAAAGAAAACAAGCAGTAAATAAATAGAGTGCAAGTCTAAAAGGGGCAAGTTTTTTACATTTATTTTTTATAAAGAATAGAATTAGAATAGAGAGTGCTAGAGTTAGAGGGTCAAATAAAGATGGAAGATATGTGTTTTTAGCTGATTCTTGAAGATGGCTAAGGACTCAGTTGCTCGGACTGAGTTGGGCAAGTCATTCCACCAGGAGGGAACATTTAATTTAAAAGTCTGTGAAAGTGATTTTGGAACAAGGAGTTGCGAAGCATGTTCCGAAAGAAAGGGCCTGATCTTCTTGATGTTGAATAAAGCAAACCTGCAGGACCGGGCAGACATTAGCAGAGAAGGAAGAGGAGTTACTGATACACATAAAGGTCAGTAGTATTTTTTGATTTGCGCCACAACCTTTCAGCAGCCCTGAGCTTAGAACGATGCTCGTGGAAAACATCAGACAGCCAAGGGGCAGAAGGGGTGGTACGGCCTGGCCTGGAAGACAAGGGGCAGACAGTGTCTAAACAAGATGTAAGAGTGGAGCAGAAAGTATCAGTAGCACTGTTAGCATCATGAGATGATAACTGTTTAGGGGGAGGAAGCAAAGATGAAAACATAGCAGATAGCCGGGAGGGTGAGAGTGAGTATAGGTTATGTCGAAAGATGACATGTGGAGGGGTATGTGTTGTGTCAGGAACCATGTTGAGGTTAAGAGTGAGGAGGAAGTGATCCGAGGTGTGCAGTGGAGTAACCAGTAAATGATCAGTGGAGCAGTGTCGTGTGTAAATAAGGTCCAGTTATTCACTCCCCCCGCCGACAATTCCTGTCAGACCTGAACCCGCAACCTTCGGGTTACAATTCATACTCTCTAACCATTAGGCCACAACTGCCTACAGGTGCTCGAATGCGGCCATTGTCTGCTGTTAGTGGCTCTGCACTGGCCTGCAAGGCCATGGTTTCACACGTCCACACGTGCATCCACACGAAAGTTGTACACTTGTAAGTGGAAAGTGTTTTGTGACTGGTGTTCTAGTCGCAATGTCTTTTGGAACTTGTTTATCCAACTTTCACATTAAAGGTGTATGTGGCAGCATTAGCGGCTCATTGATCTGAGTTTAGTAATTCTTCACTTGGGTCTGACAGGTTAATTGTTACCTTCCTGAAAGGAGCTAATCGTTTGTCCGATGTGAGATTTGAATATTGTTCAATACGTGGTACCAGATACGTGGTTGTATTTCTCTATTAGTGGTATTGGATCTTAGTGCTGCGTTCGACACTATTGACCACACCATTCTTTTGAATAGACTAGAAAACTTTGTTGGCATAAATGGAAGTGCACTAGCATGGTTCAAATCGTACTTATCTGACCGCCATCAATTCGTAGCAGTGAATGAAGAGGTATCATATCGATGAAGTGCAGTATGGAGTACCTCAAGGCTCAGTACTAGGGCCATTACTTTTCACATTTCAATGTTACCCTTGGGAGATATCATCAGGAAACATGGTGTTAGCTTTCACTGTTATGCTGATAATACTCAGCTCTATATTTCTTCGCGGCCCGGCGAAACACACCAATTTGAAAAACTAACGGAATGCATAGTCAATATAAAAAACTGGATGACGAGTAATTTCTTACTGCTAAACTCTGAAAAAACAGAGGTGTTAATTATAGGATCTAAAAACTCCGCACGAAATAAGCTAGAACACTGTCTAACACTTGATGGCTGCTCTGTCAATTCTTCGTCATCAGTTAGGAACCAAGGTGTGCTATTTGACAGCAACCTTTCCTTAGAAAGCCACGTTTCTAGCATTTGTAAAACTGCATTTTTCCATCTCAAAAATATATCTAAATTACGACCTATCGGGACAAGACCACAGGAACCAGTTGAGTCCTCTGCACAATGTGACATTGCTGCAGCCTGGAATTAAACTGCTGGTTTTCGTCTGGTCAGAGGAGAACTGGCCGCCTGACCGAGCCTATATATAAAAAGGTTTTTTTCTCCATTCTGTCACCGATGGAGTTTTGGTTCCTTGCCGCTGTCGCCAATATTTTTCTAATTAATGCTGTACAGTTGCTTTGACACAATCTGTATTGTTAAAAGCGCTATATAAATAAAGGTGACTTGACTTGACTTGACTTCTAAACTACTTGTGTAAGCCCCCATTTGAGCCAATATCAGAGCCTGATATTAAATGGCTGTCATTTAAGACCGCATCTCTCTTGGCCATTACAACAGCGAAGAGTGTGAGTGAACTCCATGCTTTATCAGTGAGTGCTCCCTGTTTGCGCTGGAGTAATGGATTCAGTAGTATCATATTGTGGCCCAATCCAGCATTTCTACCCAAGGTTTTGTCCTCGCATTTTATGAACCAGCCTATTGTGTTGGCTGCACTGCCAGCAGATCAAACTGACATACAACTGGATCTATGTCTAGTTAGATATTTGAGGGCTTACATTAATAAGACAGCAGCTTGGCATAAGACAGACCACTTTTTTGTTGTGCGCAGGGGTGCTATGCTTTCCAAGCACACTGGGTGACGCAGGTAATCTCATGTGTATGAGTCTGTGGGGCTTTCTGTGCCTTCATCTATTCACTGTCACTCTACTCATGCTTTTGCAACATCTTGGGCAGCGTTCAAGGGAGTGTCGCTCTCTTGAGATTTGTGCTGCAGCAACTTGGAGTTCAGCTTGCACGTTTTCTCGTTTTTACAGATTGAATGTGACTCCCTTGCCAGCGGTGTGTGCTGCAGTGCTATCAGCCTGTACAGATTCTTCGCAAGGGGATTCCTCGTAACTGCGTAGGTATTCGTCTTTCACTAGTGCTTTCAGCACTGCCTCTGGCGGTCTGGAGCGAAAGGAAATAGAATGCTAGTTACAAACTTAACTGTGGTTCTAAGACTAAGTGGAAGACCACCAGAGTTTCTGGTCACTCTGTATCACGAGAATGATCGAGATGACATGTTAAGGGATTATTATAGCTCAAGATACATCATGAGTCATGAGGTAACAACTTTGTTATTCTGTTCTCAGTCAAGTGCGAGCATGAGGGGTTTTCCACTAGTGCTTTCAGCACTGCCTCTGGCGGTCTTCCACTTAGAACCACATTTACGTTTGTAACTAGCATTTTCTTATGTAGTATATTTTGAAATGTAATTTATTCCTGTGATGGAAAAGATGAGTTTTCAGCAGCTATTACTCCAGTCTTTAGCCTGTGAACTGGGAAAGTCATTTATGTCATTTTAATGGGTGGAATGAATCTGTACTTGACTGTCAAAAGAGTACAATTCCTAACTATATAATTCAGTTCAGAAGGTAAAGCCTTATGTGTCTTAATAAATGTGCTTTTACCAATTTATCAGCTAGATCTATTTGTATGCTGACCCATTCAAAATAATAACCACATATTTCAGAATCCACAAAATAGAGTAAAGGTAGAACAGGCCAGAGCCAGCAGCTAAGGAAGCTGTTAATTAGGCAGTAAATGTAGTCATTTTTATTGTTGTGTTATTGTTATTATGCATTTTATTCATTACATTAACAAATTAATGTTGTACTAGGTGTTGACATTAAAGTTTGACAATAAAGTTGCCAGCAAGGACTGGAACATTGATCTATGTGTGTTTGAGGAAGTATTTATTTCTATATATATTTGTGTGTGTATATGTATATATATATATATATATATATATATATATATTACAGTGTACATGTTTAGCTAACTAAATGGTAGGGTTAGTGTTAAGCCTGAAATACACTACAAGTCTTTTAAAATCTGAACAGGCACAAACAGTTACAGAGGAAAAACTGGGCATATCATACACTAAATGGCATTCACTACCTGACTTTCAAGTTGTTCTGAACACAAGAAACTCGGCCTAGGCCAAAATGGCCTCATTTGAGAAAAAAGTCTAGTATTTTGCATCATTGGATAGAGCTGTCGGTCATTATCCCAGTGATTATCCCTCTGTGTGCCAATGTTGACACGCATGCCATAGGTTTCCGACCCCTGGTTTAGAGTAACAGGTTGTATTTAGTAGCCTATATTATATATGCAATAAAGAAGTTTCATATTTCAACTGCATGACCATTAAAACATTAAATATTACTTTTGTTCTACCAGCTGTAAAAGAATGACTTACTCTTGGGTTGAGAGATTTTTGGTAGTTTGGACTTAAGAAATTCAGCCATCTCTTTGTCCTCCTCCCGTTCCCTGTATAGCAAAGGTAACCATGGTGATTATGAGGCAATGCATTAAGGGAAGACTGACTGTATCATTCACTATTTATGCGTGGTTTTCACGTCCTTCAGTTAGCTCAAGGTTTTCATATTATTGCTGGGAAATGTAATCTAAAAATATAATGTGCATTCATGTATCATGCATATCTCTTTCTTTGTGTGTTCATGGTATTCTCCTGGCTTTACAAAAGACTTCTGCCCACTAGAAGTGAATGGTTTGCAACATGTTCCATGTCTTCCATTCCAGCCTTTGAGAATTGGCTGAAAATGGACCTACACAGTGCCGGCAACAGGATTTGCACAGTGTCTAACTCCAGATGGACTAAAAATACATCCAGTGTTTCCTCAGCTGATAATTATTAAAACTGAAAGAATACATGAAAAGAATACATAAAATATTTGAAGCCTTTTTGGGGTCAAATGCATTTACATTATGTTAATATACTACCAGTACTATACACAAGGCAAAACATAAACACTGGATTCAAAGTCTAGATTCAATCTCAAAATTGTGCAGATGCCACAAGCACTGAGCAGACTTTTTCTTGAATTCAGTTCCTGAAATTGCTGAGACAGAATGTGGCAGCATGGCTTTATTACAAATAAAATCCTATTACTTCTGTACTTAGAGTGTGAGTAATGATTTTCCCCCCTCAGTCCTTAGACAGAATCCTGTCTGCCCCAGAATTGAGCTCAGTCAGAGATTTAATAAAGAGTGCAAATGAATAGTGTGTCAGCCTCCTCCATTTTCCAGCATGCTGAAATCGGCTCACCTGAGACGCTCAAACTCCACGTCATCTACCAGGAAGTCTCTGGCCTCCACTAATGTATGAATCTGTTTCAGAAGATCTTCCTCTTTCTGTTTGTCTTCATTAGACTTGTCATTATCTGAAAATGAATTTTTATTATAGTTTTATTTATTTATTTATTTGTATACCAAGCAACAGCTTTCATTGTTATGTTCAATAAGGCCAGGCCACTTCTTACCTTAACAGAAAAACCAAAATAAGCATTTACAAATAATTTATGCAAAGCAAGGTTGGACCATTTACTGGCTTGATTAGTAGTGCATGTTGTGCTACTTTTAAAAAATTGTAAAAGCAATTGAATAAAGAGAGAGATCTCTCATTTTTATAGGTAACTTCAGTAATGGTACAGTAGAAGGAACTTTTACAAATGTACTGTAAAAAAACACTGATAGCTAAAACAGTAGTTCTCGAATTTTTACTGTAATATATTCAAGAGGCTTTCCCAAATCTCACCTGGAATAGACAAAAGCTTTTGAAGCTCTTTCTTCAGTCTTGTAATTTCTTTACATAACTGGATATCATCCATCCTGCAAAACAAAAAGAAGAGCAAATATGATGACTGTTCTAAAGCGTGAGAAGCGTTTAAAGAATTAAAAGAAGAAAAAAAAGAAGTAAAGAAAAAACAAAAACAAGCAAACAAAAAATAAACAAACATAGACCAGGTAATCACATTCATGTGGTAACATCTAAAAATAATTGTTTTAATTATTATTATTAAAATTAAATTGACTTGTTAAATTAAAACTGTATACTGTATAACACATTGTAAAAGCAATTGAATAAAGAGAGAGATCTCTCATTTTTATAGGTAACTTCAGTAATGGTACAGTAGAAGGAACTTTTACAAATGTACTGTAAAAAAACACTGATAGCTAAAACAGTAGTTCTCGAATTTTTACTGTAATATATTCAAGAGGCTTTCCCAAATCTCACCTGGAATAGACAAAAGCTTTTGAAGCTCTTTCTTCAGTCTTGTAATTTCTTTACATAACTGGATATCATCCATCCTGCAAAACAAAAAGAAGAGCAAATATGATGACTGTTCTAAAGCGTGAGAAGCGTTTAAAGAATTAAAAGAAGAAAAAAAAGAAGTAAAGAAAAAACAAAAACAAGCAAACAAAAAATAAACAAACATAGACCAGGTAATCACATTCATGTGGTAACATCTAAAAATAATTGTTTTAATTATTATTATTAAAATTAAATTGACTTGTTAAATTAAAACTGTATACTGTATAACACTGCATACTGCACAATTTATTTAATGGTAATTAAAACAGTAAGCATTATCCTACCATAAACATCTCAAACATTTGTTTTCTACACTGTTGTGTCATGACCTTGAAAATAAAATTCAACAAAATCATCCAGTTAACATTTTGTTTTCAAATTTTGTGTGAACGCATTGCATTTTGGGATGCAGTATTTCATGCTGTAAGCTCTGTTGTTTACTGCTCATTTTGGCAGTTGCAGTGGGTCAGCCATGCACATAGAAAATCTGCATATTATTCACAGTATACCTATTATACTGCAGTGGTAGTGAGAGTCTGAACTGATGAATTCCATGAATTCTATCTTATTAATATTCATAGATATTTGAATGTAATATTTACAAATATATTTCTGTACAACTGGACATGCGTTGAAACATATTGACAACATCTATAATGCATTTAAGTGTGCACAGCTGTAAAAACATAAAATAACAATATAGTCTACAAAACATTATATTTTAAATATATGTCCTAACTCCCCTCTAAATTTAACCATTTCTTATCAATACAAAATCATTAAAGCTACACAAGGCAGACAAATGTATTTAATAATGACAATATTTTTGTACATCAATGAAATTTCATTTAAATTATTATTTTTTTTTAAATACAATGATTAAATTATGATATATTTCTCTTTGTAATTATTTTAGGTTTATAAACTGATGGAATCCTTCAAAATGAGTCAAATACGGCACAATAAAACACATTGAACAAAAATAAACCATTATAAGGTCAAATGAGGCGAATGTGTAAAATATTTGTGATGGCTTTGAGTATATTTATTAATCGATTTAAACACCTCCTTTAAACACAATAAAATCAAAGCATTAATTTTATGGATTAAAGATTTGATAATCTAAAAGAATTCATAAATATTTGTATACATTTCCAAAGTTGTTAATACATAAAATGATGTTGTCTAAAAGCAAGCAATAATTTTTTTTAACACACTGTAAAAAGTGATAACCTGCTAATGTTACCTTAAAGGGATTTATACCCGATTTGATTTATTGGTTTTATTGGTATAATTTTTTATTTTTTTTTGTGATATAAAACAATATTTTTGACTTGAATAAAACCAGTTAATTAAGATGTTACCATTTTTGCAGGCTAATTGTGTCAGATAGCAGTATTTAGAGTGCATTCAGTCCCTGCATTTTAAACAAAATAGACAGTCTAATGATGAAGCTGTACCATTGGATTTCTCTCTGTATCTCTCCAGTTCAGTTGAGACAGACAGTGGAGGATGAGCACCAATCAAACACTTCGGAAGAAATGCCCCACTGATTTTGTGATAGGCAAAGCTCTTCCCCAAATGATTGTGAGGGGAAACCAATATCCATGCATTAGACACTCTGGCAGCATCAAAAGCAAAGCATTAACATTTTAATGAGGGGCAGCTGGCTGATTGTAGCTCTTGGCAATGGGAACAGGAAGGACAGATGACTGCAGATGTGATGGTGAGAAGGATCTCAGATCAGCTTTACAAACTGCTCATGGCTTTTGGATTTGGCTGTTGACTGCCAATTATAATTGACAAAAATGGTTATTACATTCATATAGTAGTTTACTGTTCATGTAGTGATTAAGTTTATCTGGAAATGTAACAAAAGAAAACACTTCTGTTAATCGAAAAACATTAACGACATGGGTACACTTTGAACTCACAACTGTTTGACGTACAGAACAAAACCAAAACATAAATATTAATATGTAAGGTATTATTTACAGTCAGCAGGTTATTATTGCAAATAAACCCAGAAAGGGTGATCAGGACCCACCTATTACATTGCTACCTACAAAATAAATACATAAATGGACCCTGAATAATTGATTTTAATTTAACTTATATATTACATGCAAAGAAAGAGACTGTAGAATGAGTCATGAAAAATAAATCAGTTGCCTAGGACAACGGTTGGTTATAGCGGTTAAATGGCCATTCTAACCAAGGATGATAAATATAAATATAACGTTTTTATAATTGTTCTAATTCTATGAGAATAGGGAAGTCCACATCATAGCTGTAATGATAATGGCATTGTACTTGCGTAAAAGAGTCTTAATGGTGCTGTATGTAATTTTTTTTTTTTACTGTACTCCAATATAAATAATATGCTAAGTTCACATACTTGTTCACTAAAAAGCTCTATGACCAGAGGCATATTAAAATGTGGATAAATCAACTCATTAATCTACAGTGTAAGGCTCATCGCCTTCCATTGTCAGTTGCGCTCTTTCCTGTTGCTTATCTGGCAACCTGCATGAGTGTTGAGTCTGAGGAGGAGGGGGCGGGAGAAACAACTCTCTTCAATATTTTGAATTTGGACTGCGGTGCAGTTGACAGTATTACATACTGCACATTTAATAGTCATTATAGAAAAGTATTTGACCACAGAATGGGAAAACCCCACAATAAATTAAGGTGTAAACTGAATATGAACAGCTATTTTATTTTACTAAAGAACATACAAAAATAATCGTGGTTAATATATTGACACTCCCAGTTACTTTTAATAAAAAAAAAAGGTTGAAAAAAGGAGTGCTGTCATAATTAAAGCAGAACATTAAAGAAGAATTATTATAGCTTGTATGAGGGGTCTAAAAACCTGGATTTCATGTACTGTATACCTACATTTTTAAATCAAACTTTTAAACTTTTCACTGGTAATGAAGAAAAATGAAGAAAGATTTTCACTAGTGGTCACAGACATTTGGGCCCCATGGTATACAGTTGCAATCAAAATTATTCAACTCCTCAGAGACTGCAGTACTTTACAAATACAAGCTTTTCTGAAGATCCAAGATTTTATACAAATTGCATCTATAACAGTTTATTGACATTAAAAGTGATAATATCAATATATAATTTAATATTTTTGAGTTATAGGATTTTTTAATAACACAGCTTTGTCATAATTATTCAACCCCTATTCAACATTGCTGTTTTTAAGTAACTTTTTTTGTATGGTGGGGAACAAAATTGTCTTAAAACACAATTAAGCCTTTAGAAACTTAGCCCAAGCATGTGCTGACATGAGTAGCAAAATGCTATAGAAGAAATTGTTTTATTACATTAGAAAGTCTAAGGCTACATGAAGATTCCCAAGACATTAAAAGTTCCTAGAGACACAGCTGGCAGCCTTATTCCTTAGCTTAAAATGTGTTGTACCAGAAAACCTTTTTAGGGTGTTGAAGAAAAAGCACAATATCATAATAAATTTGATCAGAGCAACTGAGAAAAACCTGCAATGTACAGCCAAAGACTTGCAAGATGACCCGATGAAAGGAGTAAATACATTTCAATGCAGAGTATAAGAAGGAGACTAGACAAGTATGGCCTTCGTGTTGGGGCATCTTGCAGAATGCCACTCTTGACCAAGAAGAACATAAAAGGCAGACTTGAACATGTTAAAATTCATTTGGGTAGACCTGTGGAGTTCTGGAAGAATGTTTTATGGAGCGATGTGACCAAACTGGAACTTTTGGACCCATGGATCAGCAGTATGTCTGGAGCAAAAAAAGGCAAAGCTTATAAACAGAAGAACACCATCTCCATGGTCAAACTTGGAGGTGGATCAGTCCTGTTATGGGGGAGTTGCACTGTTGCGGGAAGTGGAAATCATGACTGTATGAAGGACATCATGGATTCTTTGAAGTATCAGGCCATTTTGGCAAGAATTATGATGCCGTTGGTGCAAAGACGGAAGCTGATGATCAATGGACTTTCCTGCAGGACAGCCATCCCAAAGTATACATCCAAATCTACTTATGCTTGGTTCAGGGATCAATCATAGGATGTACTTGAGTGGCCTGTCAGTCTCCAGATTTAACTCTCATTGAAAATATTTGGTTGAATTTGAAGAAAGCAGTGGCAATGTGAAACCCAAAGATTATCAGTGATCTGAAAGCTTTTTCAGTCGAGGAATGAGCCAAGACTGCAGTAGTCTGCAGAAATGTCTGCAAATGTCTTGCAGGTCAAGCGGGTAAAGATTTACATGGAAAAATCAGTTTACTCACATGTATCTGAGCTCAGATTCCCTCCTGATCAAAACGTCTCTGATCCGTTCAATCTTACAGAGTTCTCCCTCTATGTCCCCCACTGTTATAGTAGAGTCCGCCATTGAGATCACATCTGCCTCTGAAAACACAAAAAACAAGACGATCTGGACTGAAGCCACACTGATCACAACCACAAAGAGCTGAATACAGCTCAGATTGCGTTCTATAGAAAATATCAAATTTAATGCAACGTCTTCTCTCTCAAGATTAGCAGTGCTTGTGAAGACTTTCTGAAAAGTGAGGTACATTTTAAGATGCACCAATCTGTTGAAATCAATTCACCATCATTACACGCGTTGCAAGTTTAAAAATAGCTAAACTAGCTAAAACGAATAGCTAAACAACCACTGAGCCTCTTTAAATATCACGATTAAAAGAAGCGTAAACTAAACCTCTACAATTCCTTCAGGTCTGTTGTTAACTTCTTCCTATTCTTGAAGAGGATCTCAAAACCTCAGTATCTCTCCTGCACCAATAAATCAAAGCTTTAGCAGCAGCAGAAAATTGCAGCGTGTCCAGGTTACCCGCCTCGGCTGTCAGACAACAAATTATTACTTGCAAGGGTTTAGGAGGCCAAGCATAACTCTTCCCCTGATCCTACACTTGGTTATGTCACTGCTGATGTCTCCAGTGGGATTGTGCACTGTCTCTTTCTCATGAGTGGCATGGTAACCGTTATGCTAGGCTGAGACTAATATGTTCTGTCAGTTTTACTCGGCTGAGTGGCCACTTAGTTCGTGAGATAGGGAAATATGACAATATTCAGAAAAAAAGATTTAATTTAAAGCCTTATTTTGTTATTTTGTCAACGTGTCTTCATTTGTTATCTAGTAACAAACCACTGTATTGGCTGATTAATCAACCAATATGTGGTCATATGGAGTTAATTTTTTTTTTTGTGTGTCAGCTAAAAACCATGTCTTTGTTCCAGCAGTTTTTTGGTTTTTTTTGCATTTGATATGAAATACTTTTGGGAAGTTGGCATATCTTGTGCTATATGTAATCTAAAACACCTTTAAACATAATTCTGCTAATTAACTTATAATTATCATGTCATTTTTATCATCTTGCATAAAATTTGTATACTTTTAAAAATGTAATTGTCATTAACAATTTTAACCATTAACCATCTAACAATTTTAAATAATAACTGGTGAAAAAATGGTCACCAGTCAATATATACTTTCCTTTATACATTCATATATTAACCTAAATTTAAAACTAAAATTGGTCTTAATTAAATAAATGTTCATCGACAAAGGACATTATATATGTGGCCATCAGCAGAAAAAAATAATTAATTTGCTTTTATATATATATATATATATATATATATATATATACACACATATATATATAT